ACATGTCGTTTAGGAAGTGGATGCCACTCCTGCTTCCAAAACTGTCTTAAACTGGGAGTTCCACCAAACACTGTTCACCATGGGCAGCCATTATGGCATTTGACCCCACCAACGGAACAAGGTTCAGCATCACAGCAAACTCAGATTACCTCAGTACAGCAAACTGACAGAGGAGTGCTGTACAACTTAGAAGAATGTGCCTCCAAAATAAAATAACACCAGACCCTCAAGCCCAAACAACATTTGAATGTAAGGGAGATTTTTTTTATATATATATATACACATACATACATACACACACATATATATACATATATATACATACATACATATATATGACAGTTATCATTTCAAAAATACTAAGAACTAATAAGCAAGGCAGTCATTTCTCATCCCATTTACAGTCGCAACTTCTCAATGTAATGATTGCTAATCTATTCTTTTTGAAAGCCAAAGTATCAAAGAGTTATCATTTGAAAGGGCCAGAATTCCACACTAGCAATCACTCCTCAAAGGGCCTGACTGAGAAGCACTTTTGGTGGGAGGCACTTGCTGTTGTCAAAGGAAAACAGTCAAATAGGTCCTGTGGCCCCACCTCATGCACCCCCAGCCTGAAGCCAAGCCGGAGCCAGGGTGGAGGGGGTGTGGCATGGAGGGGGTGTGGCATGCCGCTGAATTTAAGACAGCAAGATGGCATTACTACTCCCTGAACTGTCCACAGCTAAATTCTTCGAATTTTCCGCTGCTCCTCCCTCACCTCTTGGAATGTCCACAGCTGCTGAGCTGGTTGGAGGAATGTGGACCCAAGACAAAGGCTAGATAAGCTCTAATTATACAGGAACTGTGGTGCAGTTCTCTTTTCTTTACCTCTTTTTTTACAGAATTTACCAACTTCAGAACAGTACCTTAAAAAGCCGTCTCTTACTACGAAGGAAAATGACAATCATATTGCCAACACATTTATTTATCAGAAATTAACTGAATTCTTAAACTCTAAGGTTTACAATGTGCCAATATATTCCCTTTAAAAAAGTAAAATGTATTCAAAGAAAAGGAAAGAAACTTTATGAGACAACTATATTAATCGTGTTACCTAAAAAAAAACAAAAAAACCCCAAAAACAAAAACCCCTTTCAATTAAAAACATCCAATCCACCATACTGCGTCTAATTCTTAGAGAGTATTTACCGTTGCATTTGTATCTAAAACGCTTTCCAAATTCTTTTCAAATTTGAGCTGCAACAGCATGTCCCCTTCCACTTTCTGTGTTCCGGGTCCTCTTTGCCAGTAGATGACAGAAGGGTGCTGTCACTTCCAACAACCAAGCAGACCGCCTGGAAGGACTCTGGTTGGAGAAGTGAGCACAGCTCTGCAATCTTCAGGCATCTAGAGAGCCACTCAGTCCCCATCCCCTTACATGCTGCGTGCAGTCAAGCTCCTGACCTCTCTGAGTTCAGCGTGGCTGGAGGCGTGACTCAAAGGAATAATGATTAAAAAGCAATAAAGTATTTTTTTTAAATTTAAAAGTTTTATTTGTTGAATGAAACTTATGGGATATGGAAAAGCAATAAAGTATTTTAAAATACCGTCTTGCCTGGTCAGAGTCAGAGGACTTTGTGTGAGATAAGAGTTTATAGGTGCCAATTAACATTTTAATTCTTGAGTATGGAAGCAAACACTTCAAAACAGAAACGATAATGTAGAACTCATGCACTTATGACACTGTAAACAAGAGGATGTCAGTCTACTCTGCACCTGTTTAAAAGCAAGCAGCAGTGAATATTAGGGAAATGGGGAGAACACAACTGACCAACAGCAGAAAAGGAAAACCAAGCATAAACAAGGGCATCTTAAAGCATATTGTACGTTGATGGGCAGGGGAAAAAACAAGGCTATGAAAATACTTTTCAAGTTTAGATGTGTTTTGTTATGAAAAATCACTGTTATATACAACTACTGAGATTCTTACTCCAAGTTTATCCACTTCCAACATCTCATCCACATATCCCACTGGAATTCCAACGGCATTTGTTTCTAGCACTGTGACCATCAGCAGCACTAAGTCAGGCCCATAGTAGATAAGCAGATGGGACCACTGTGATCCACAGAGCTTTCAGGGGCTGCCTTTCCAAGGGGAGTCTGCTAGACCTCTTCCCCTACTACGTTTTAGTCTGGAAGCACCATGTTGAGCATCATAGAGACACGCCAGCCTCAACTCACACACGAGTATGGGGAAGCATGGGAGTGAGTGACTGGTGAGTTCAAAGCACCAAGCTTTTGGTTACCAGGTTAACCCCTGACCCACTATAACACTGTTGTTGTTAAATGCCGTTGAGTCGTCTATGACTCATAGTGGCGCTATGAATAATAGCTCTGCACCCTGCCCTATCTTGAGCCAATCTCACTGTGTCTGGTACACCTTGCCCCACTGCCACAGTCCCTGGATCAATCCATCTAGACCTTTCTCAGGCCTGGATCCACAGCACTACTGACAACAGCCCATTAAGCCGAAAGCTGATGATCCTAATCATAGAATTCATTTTTGGGATTGGGAGAGTCTTCTCATTAAAAGCTGTATTTAAAGTGCCATCCCATATTTCACCAATGGTGAAGGAGAAGACGACCCTCAACCAGATTAACACAATGGCTGCATTAATGGGCTCAAGTGTGACAGAGATTATGAAAACAGCAAAGGACAGGACAGGGATCAGGTCTCTAGTTTGTAGGGTCACTATGAGTCATACTCGACTCAATGACACCTAACAACAACAAGAAGAGCATAACACACTTCTAGGTGTCAAATACAACCCCTAGTTGTATTTGCATGCAAATGTCCCTAATGATAACTGAGATTTAAATTTGCAAACAAAATAATGTAAAGTCTTTTGGAAAATGGGGAAATGTTTATTGCAAAGGTTTTAAACCACAGCAATATGGGCAGTTGAGGTCAGTTCAGGCCTTCCTGGAAGGGACTGTTCCAAAAGGCTTCGCAGTAACTATAGTCCTTACCCACTAGGTGACAGTAGTGCCCTCCCTTCCCTGCAGTGGTGACAATCAAGGGTGTCCCTTGATGTTGCTAAATGTCCCCTCAAGGGCAAAACTGTCCCTAGCTGTGAAACTGTGATGATCTAGTGCTTATATAAAAATCACAAACTTGAGCATTAATACTCCACACATTGCTGACACATTGCTGACCCTCCACTGGGATCCCAGGCTATAAACTACTGGAAGGGGGACTGTCCTGCCGTTTGCAGAGCAGTCACTGGGGGATCGAACCACCAGACTCACGGCCTTTGGTTTAGCAGCACAGCTTCCTACTGACCACTCGCTCAGAGCTCCTTAGAATTATCAATTCAGGTAATTCCGGTTTGTAAAGTCGGACATTACAGCTCAAACAAGAAAGAAAAGCAGATCTACTCCTAAAGGTAAATGAGTCAAAATTACTAGGCTTCACAGCACAAACTCATCTCCATCACTAATGGTTTATTCTGCAAAGATTGCAGGGTAGAAAGCTTAAATTTAGAGAAAATACACTTGACGTATGCGCGCGCACACACACACAGAGAGAGAGAGGGGCATCTTGTTCACCATCCACTGGAATGGTCTATCATTCTTGGTTCAGAAAGCATCACTTCAGGTTCAGTGGTCACTGCTACTAGCAGCTGGAAGTTTTGAAATATTAACCTTGGAGTGCGCAGCCAAGTAGACAACAACTGCACCACCAGACTCCCTCAATGCCATCTAATCTTCAGAGAAAGACTAACACCACAGCTACACAGGAAATAAAAACTTCGACATTCCTTCTCCCATTATCTTGTATCAAGGACCTTGCATAGGTTGTCATTGTTGTTGTTGTTGTTTTTTCTATGCCACTGAGTCACATGAGACTCACAGCTACCCTGTGTATACTAGCTCTGAAAGCTGCCCTATCCTTTGCCAATCTCATCATCTCCGACAGACCTAATTCCATAGCTCCAGTCACTGAGTCAATCCATCTCGTCCAGGGTCGTCTGCTCCTGTGCTGTCCATCCACCCTTCCAAGCATGACGGTAGAGCATTAGATATTGACTCAAAGAGTAGCAGTTCAGATCCACCACCTGCACCACAAGGGAGAGATGAATGGTCTCCTCCCATGAAGGTCTGCAGACTCCGAGGTCCAATGGTGGGTCACTATGGGTTGGAATCTACTCACCAGCAGTGGAGTTTGGGTTACTGTTCAAAGAGAACAACTGTCACTTTTCCCCACAAGGCAGCTGTTGGGTTTGAGTCACCATCCTTTCTTTTTTTTTTTTTTAATTTTATTATTTTTTTGTGAGTGTACCATCAAATCAGATCTGACTGGTACAGGAGGAGATTGTCCCTCCTTCCCCGGCAGAGCATCTGGTGGATTCGAACCGTGCGCCTCTGGGATTGTAGTTGTCACCATCCTTTCTATTTGCAGCCAAGAGCTTAACCACTGCAGCAGCAGGGCTACTGCACTCAGTTATGAGGCAAAAGGCTGGTGGTTTGAACCAACCTAGGAGCCCTATGGAAGAAAGAAAGGCCGTATGATCTGCTTCTGAAACACAAGAACCTTGAAAACACTAGGAAGCAGAACTGACTAGACACCCCCTCGTTTGGTTTGGTCTGGGCTCCATCTACCAACCCAAGAGCGCCACCTTTATAATCTTTATAATCTCCACTGCTCCCCAGGCTCTCCAATACTGAAACGTAATTTGACTGTTTTTTTAAAGTCATCTTCTCTTGTGCATCTAGTCTACGTCCACCAAGGAGTCTTTTCTACAAGGCAAGAAGGAAACAACTGAGCTGCTTAGCACGTTGAAAGTACGTCTTTGACAAACAAGTTTCACATCTTGTCTAAGGAGATATAAAGTCATCAAAATGAGGGACAAGGAAGAATGCCAAGTACTCAAAAGTCTAGTAACCCAGAGAGATGTGTCCATGAAAATGACTCTTTGACCCTGTCATAACCGTAAACACTTAATGGCCTCTGGATTTACCTCAAAAGTCCTGAGTCTGGGTGCAATTTCTTCTAGCAAATGCAGTTCTTTGGAAACCTTGGCCTTTAGCGTGTTCCACTTCCCTTGAACAGCATCGAATTCCTGCCGGTATGTCGTCTCTACACCCGGAAGAGCCTTTTTCTCCAAAGCCTTTGTTTCCTCTGCAAGTCTGCATAGAGCAGGTTTCTGATTCTCAAGAACTTCATCCAGGGCCTGGGAAAAGGTTTTAAAATATTGAAAACATGCACAACAAAGCACATGGAGAGATGTAACAGCATGAGCTACACAGAGATAAAAATTATTTCTCTCCAACAACAACAATAAAAAGCATTTAACAAAAAATAAATGTGAAAACGTCAATGGGGAAAAAAGCAACATCATTGAAAATGCTTTTCTGTCCTGAGCTGGGAGCAGGGGGCAGACAGAATACATTCAACACACTGGAAACTAAGAGAACACAGAATAGCAGTGAGGGAAGACCAGATCTATAGAGTCAGAGTCCACCTGTCTTAACCTGGTCAAACACTAAGCCACTTCACAGAATGACAGCAACAGAGGTTTTATTCAACACGAAACAAGCAACACATGGATGGAACCAACGTTCTACGTCTTCTTAAAGACACTTGAGCAAATTATGATCTGGTTGAGAATTTTAAATTGATTATAATGGAAGACAAAAAAGTATGTCTCTTTCCCATCAAAAAAATATTTAATAACTCTTTTAGTTGGGGTATTAAAGGAACTGAGATCAAATGATATAAAAACTTTTGACTGCCATTGAACAAAACTGGCCAACTTTTTATCTTAATAGTTGAAAAAGTATTTGAGAATAGAATGTAATTTGAAATACGAGAAGTGGGGAAAAATACCTAGGCTTAATAACAGATAGTACCTTGTTCTCCTGCAGGGCCGTCTCCACCTTCACAAGGTCATTCAAGACACTCAGAGAAGTGGGAGTCTGGTTTTCTGACTTGTTTAGAAGCTCTTTCAGTGTTTGCAGTGTTTCTAAATATTCTTGTCCTGGCTGGCTCTTCAGTTCTGTTTATTTAAAAATATTTAATTGGAGAATTGAGTCTTATTAAGAACTTAGTATTATTTCAGATTCCATTCATCTTCTGCATAGAACAATTCTAATACATGGTCCATTAATCTTCGGCATCTAACAAGTAAATTTTAATACATATTACCTTCGACCTCATAATTAGAATGAAAGAGTCTCTGTTAGTTAATAAAACAGATCATTCCACTGGCATTTCCGAGTGCCAGACGGTGACTTCATTCCTCAGGATACTGATGTGTGAAATATTAACTAACCCAGTATCCTTTCTTTTCATTTCATTATGATGAAATGTCTCTCTCTGAAGATGGGACTACAATGCTCCCTTTGTCTCACATCAACTTCACCACAAAGAACGAAAGAAAGCAACGACCCCCATGACAAGTTTTTCTCTGAGTTCAAGTGTGAAGACAAATTGCCATCTCTGGAATGGTGAATATGATTCCAGGTGCCACAGGTACATGGACAAAACACTGGATGAGTCAGCCAGGATGGTATCAAGTTAAGCCGCTGACACTGAAATCTCAAACAAGCAATGCTTATATGGAAAGAAGATTAGTTCATCAGGAGCTCAACTCTATGAAACCAACTCTCTGGAAAAGCGAAGGGACTGAGCTTTCAGGGATCTCTGTTGAATAGGAACACACACACACACACACACCAGGAGCTCAACTCTATGAAACCAACTCTCTGGAAAAGCGAAGGGACTGAGCTTTCAGGGATCTCTGTTGAATAGGAACGCAGCCTGAAGTGCTCACATTTACTTTACATGCTAGACCAACTTAATCCAACAAACAAACAGCATAGTATCCACACATCTTTGCAGAAGAAGGAAGGTAGACACATCTGTGTAACATGCAAACATACTGATTACTAAAATCAACACAGACTCGCCAACTGCAAAAAGAGGGTGTGGTTAAATCTATCTGTTTAGCATGCACAACCCACAATATTACATAATATGACCCAGTTCTAGGCTTAAACAATAGCTACAGAGGAAAAAAGTTAATGCATGATGAGTGAACTCACAAAACTTTTAACAGAAGGCCCAAACAAAACAAGGTTACTTGCAAAATAAGAATTTTTTTTTTTAGAAAAGTATTCCTTTAAAATTAGATTGTCTGGGGTGAATGGAACATCTTTTGGCAAATCAAAGAAGGAAGTGATTCTTTTAAATCTTGCTAATAACGTTGCCTGGCCTCCGTTAGTTAAAGGGGAAAATAGTTCCCATGTATCTACTTAAAGACATGGCAGCACTGGAGTTAAAGCATTAGGCTGCTAACCAGTATGTCAATGGCTCAAACTTACAACCTGCTCCATAAGAGAAAGATGTGGCTGTTTCTACAAAGATTTACAGACTTGGAAACTCTATGTTGTTGTTGTTGTTGTTGTTGTTGTGTACCATCCAGTTGGGACCAACTCACAGCTGGCCCTCCAGAGGTCTTTCAGAGGCAGTAGATCACACAGGAGGAGGCTGCCCATCCTTCTCCCACAGAGCACCTGGTGGACCCAAACTACATGCCTTCGGGATTGCAGAGTAGCTTCTTACAACTCTGCTATAAGTTGGAATTAACTCGCTAGCAGAGGGTCTGGTGATTAGGGGTCTAACTACTTAAAATATTACATCCTCATAACATGATTTCAGAGGCAGGGATATCTGTTCACAGTTTCCCAGACATGCGTGGGTCCAAGAAATACTCAGAATGTCCTTCAAGACCTAGGAAAGATAGAAGAGTCTCAGGTGAACCAAGCAAGTGTACCACAGATGGAAATATTGGGAGAGTTTATTCAACTAAGGCAAAATGAAATGAGGGAAGGAAGATTAGACTCAAGAAATAAAGGAACCACCTGATCAGGCTTACCATTCTCGAGCTGTTGCTGGCGATCCTCTAAATCCTGTCGTAAAGCTTGGTAGTGGCCCAGAAGGCCATCGAGACCCTGCTGGATGAAATGTGGGGCAGAAGGCCGAGACTTCAGGGCCAGGCAGCTCACACGCAGGGTTTCAATGTTAGGGTGAAGGCCAAGGAGGTTCGTTAATTCCCGCTGGGGAAGAAAGAAAAATGATGGTCACATAGTCCCTGAAGAGGAACATAATCACAGAAATGTAGTCAAAACAGAATTGGCCCAAAAGTCTACGATACAGTGGGAACCTTCTCTGAACCTGGTGATCAAAGAATTCTCTCCCGATTCCAGAGGGCTGTTCTTTACCTGGCAGGAGTCCTTCAAACTTGGCAAGGATTTCTGAGGTGATCCTGAAAAGGGGGTTTGTTTCACCCACTCTTCCTTTTTCTTTATATTCTCTTCAAGTTCATCAAGCTGTTGACAGTAAGTGTTTATCTCTTCCTGCAACTGGATCTTGTCTGCTGCATCTTCCAAACGCTGGGCTAACATCTTCCACTCTGATAAAACCTTCTCCAGAATATTTTTCATTTCTTCAGTAGGAAGACCTTCTATAAAGACATAGGGGAGGAAAGAAGCAGACATTTCATTTACTGCAAAGCTTTTTGTTATAAACATTCGAAAATACTCAATATGAGGCAACGTCACATATAATGATCATTCTTATAATTCTCTTTAAACAGGAAAATTATAATAATGCATTAAGATCACTATGTTTCATTCTTTAACTAAAGTAGGGGAGAGAAGGGCTTGAAAGAGTGGTTCCAGAGTAGTGTGTCTGTCACAAAAGACGCATTCAGTAGACCTGTGGACACCATCTTTATCATAGGCATATTTCCACCCTTGATGCCAATCTTACCATTCTGTTAGCTTCTAGTCATAGCGAAGAAATTCAATAACTGCCTACAAATAACTAATAGCCGCCGCAGGGAAATGAGCCTGAGACATTCTGATACTAGAAGAAAGAAGGCTCACTAGAAAAACATGGAGACGGTTTAAGCCTTTGCTAAGGGAACCAAAGTGTGTTCGGAATGATGAAATAAAGGGCAGAAATTCTCACTGCTGCAAAGCACCCTGAGAGCATGGCAGCCTGCAGCCAGGCCCAGAAGCATCAAAAAGATGTACTGAGTGTGTGACACACACACACACACACACACACACACACATTTCTCTCCCTCTCCCTCTTCCTCTCTCTCTCTGTCTGTAAATGCACAGCACGCCAGGAAAGCAGGAATACTATCTATTTTTGAGAACACAGCAAGGGAAAAGACATGACTATTTTTACTACTATTGTCATCGCTGTTATGTACCATGAAGTTGGAGGCAAATCATAGGTTTAACCCTCCAGCAGGTTTTCAGAGGCAGTAAATGGCACGGGAGGAGACTCGTCACCTTTCTCCCCCTGGTGGATTCCAACTGTAAGCCTTTGGGTTAGCTGTGCAAATCCTTACCACTAAGCCACCAGAGCTCCTAATAGCTTGTAAATTTGTCTCATCTTTTGAGTAAAGAATGTTCAAGAAAATATTAAAGGTTGGTAGAAGCATACATTTTATCACCAGCTGTCCTTTGGTGGAAGATTAACTCCTTAAAATTATTATGAGAAACTGCGGCAACTCTGCAAAAGAATCTATATTCTGAGGAGGCAGACATGTTGCATGGGCGGCCTTAACATCTCCACTATTTGAGGAGGAGGGCCATGCAACAATACAGCTTTGTAAACATATGCAATCGAAGGTCAGGATAATGAGTGCGCGGAAGAAATGGCAGCACGCAAAACAAAAGCGCACTTATGAGTCACCGGCTGCACGACTTTAAAAACTTTTACAACACACTGAGCCCATTGAAAACTAAGAATGCAGGCAGGGCACAGTGAGAATCACTCTCCCGTGTCCACAGGTAACAGACATGAGATCACGTTCAAAACATAAATAGCACAGTCAGTGTTCAATGAATTACTCCTGTTTGTGAAGGGTCATGAAACCAACCACTGTCTTCCTGACAAACTCCCTCTGAACTGCAAGAGATACATGATTTGTTTTTGCCAAGTCATTTGTATTTCACGTGGACAAAGAAATAACAACACTTCATCCTCATGTCAGGACAAGATACGCTAAACAAGTAAGAAAATTAAACTGGTTCATTTCTTTCTGAAATGGAGAAATATGACAACTTATCTGAAAGTAGGTACAGTGTGTTCATTTTATAATATTAAGAAAGCTGGAGAAAATTTATTCTTTTCCTTTAATTTTTTTTTTAAATTTACTGAAAATGTTTCAGGACCTAGTTTTTTTGGCCCTCCAAAGCAACTGTTTAAATCATCTTTTCTAAGTCAAAGATATTTTAAGGTAGATTTGTGTCAGTTGATAATCATTTGCCTCTTGAAAAAAAAAATGGGAAACAGTATACTGTCTTCTAAAATAACTGTTCTGTTTCCAGTGAGGCAGTTATAAATTTCTATAGAACACTCAACTCTTAGAAGGTAACTAGTCAAAAGTCTAATTGTATCATCATGTTAATTATCTAAAGAGGCAAAATATAGCATAATCTTGTCACTTATTCTCACTTAACATTTTTTAACACAGTATGTATTCAATACTTGTTAATACATTTTTAAATACAGTATTGAATACTCTCAATTTTTGAATCCAGTATTTTGAATCCAGTATTGAATATTTTTTAATAAAGCTCTGCTGGAATCAAAGAAGCATTTATAAAACAAAGACCCATTATTGTAAAATTAGAAGGATAACTAATGAAACATGTAAGGTGATCCAAGGGGAGAGGGATGGGAGTGGATGGGTGTGAATGAATAGGGACAGGGTTGCATAGTTTGGTGGGTGGAAGGAGAGGGTGAAGGTCATGGGAAGGACCCAGTGGGGACCTGAAAAGACAGGGTAATGATGGCCAAGGTTCAATGGTGATTAACGTTATAAAACATAATGCAGGGGAATTGATTGTATGAAAGACAATGTAAATGAAAAACACAATGCACACAAATCTTGTAAGCAAACCAATATAAAATTTAAAAAGAAGGAGAGAAAAACAAATACAGGACCATGATCAATACCAACAGGGTTGTTGCTGTTGTTGTGTGACATCAAGTCATGGGCGCATGGCTGACCCTCCAGCAGATTTTCAGAGGCACTATTACCTTGCACGGGAGGAGGCTGCCTCTCTCTCTCCTGTGGAGCTGCTAATAGATTTGAAACATATGCCTTTGCGTTGGCAGTGCAGCTTCTTACCACTAGGCCACCAGAGTTCCTTTTTAGCCATGTATTAGTTGATGTTATGTACTGTTGAGTAATAACTGACCAGCTGGTTTCAGAGTCAATACACTGCACAGGAAAAGACTGTCCATCTTTCTCCTAAGGGGCAGCTAGTAGATCCGAACTGCATGCCTTTGGGTTGGCAGCTCACCTCTTTACCACTAAGCCACCAGAGCTCTCTGCCACTTAAGTTGTTGTTGTTGCTGTTGTTGTGACTGCCTTCAATTCGAGCACAGCTCATAGCAACCCTATGAACAAAAGGCCTGAAGCCCCTCTACAACTCTAAATATTTATCAAATGCCATATATAATGGGAATAGATTATAACGCCAGCATATCGAAGTAACTAACTACTCTATTTTCTTAGTTCAAGATCTTTAAAAACAGGACAAGCCTAACCAAGATAACCAGGTAGTTACAGTTTTAGAATTCAAGAGAAGTTAGTTATTTCATTTTTCCCCCCAATTTTCACATTCTACATACTTTGAACATATCATCATGGGAGACCGATGTGGTAAAGTCAGTGGTTAGCAATACAGCAGAAGACCTTCAGTAAGCTGGACTGGCACAGGGACTATAACCATATAACCCACAAACAGCACAGATTATGAGAGTGGTGGAGGACCAGAACACGTTCCATCCTATCACGCACAGGGTTGCTATGAGTTGGAATTAATAACATACATGGCATCATAACACCAAATTCAAATGCACGAGGCAAAAAGTCCTGTGAAATTTGATATGACAAAAATGGTGGCCTGATTATTAAACATGTTTCACTGAAGAATTTGATAGGCTTTCAAAACTGAATTGCACCATTTATCTACATCCTTAACTACTCAGAGATTAGCAAAATTCCTTTCAATTATCAGTGTTTCAAAAGTTGTTTCATATTTCTTAAGGGGAGAAAAATCTTATCAATCGTGCTTTTCTTTTCTCTTCAACATATATTTACATTAGCAATATAATGAAAAGCACTAACTATTTGTAAAGGTGTTATATTAGGTACTATAAAAATTAGAATAAGGAATAAAATGGAAAGACAAAGAGACAAGGGGGGAGTCTCTTTAATATCTTATTTATAAAAGGTAGATGCTTTCCTCATCCCTCATAAAGTTAAAAACTCAAACAACCCCCCCTAAAAACAAAACAAAACCATACATGTTTAATTCAAAAAACAAGGGTTAATTTCTATGGACTTATTTTTAATCTAGTTTATGAGCTACAATTTTCTGGGGATTCAGGGTTTCAAAAACATTTGGCGATGAACGGCTGTTTTAGATAAAACAGTGAGGCAATCCTTGAAATCAGAGTCTGTTTTCTCTCCCATGGCTGGTGTCATACCTGCTGCTGGTGGTGGTGTTTCTATTTTAGTGACTTTCTAGGACAAATGCTGTTCAAGAATTCTGTCTCTTCAGCTCATGCCTCCATTTCACTGCTTCCTAGAGCTGCTTCATGAATTTTTAATAAGAGATACGCCTTTTAAATAGAATCAGCACCCTCTGATGGATGCATTTCAGTCCCACCAAAGATGGGGAGGGTGGTAATGAAACAAAATATAAAAGTTTTCCTTTTCTTTTATTATCATATTACAAAACCACATGTCCTATATTTCCCAACACTGCACTCTACCTTTTATAAGCATCACTTTCACATAGATTCAATTTCCTAATACACTTTACTCGAAAACTCACTGTCATTCTGTCAGAACCAACTAATAGCTCACCCTCTAGCAGATCTTCACAGGCTGAAACGTGCACAGGAAGACACTGTCCAAAATAATGTTAAAAACATTCTATTAAAAAAAAATTCTATTAGTTTATAACTAATAAACTAACACTAGAAATAATGAGAGGCTTTAGTCCTCTCAAGTTTATATCTCTAATGTCCCTCTCACATCCTTTCTGGGTAATTCAGTCAGAATTTACTCAAGAGAATATTGTAATACGAAACTGTTCAGCTTTACACTACTTTTAAGAACTCCAAAGATGAATAACTCTGAAAAGATAAATTCAACCAAACTATAATAAAAAATCCACAGCAGCTCTAAAACTTCAGAATTTTTATTTTCAAAATAATCCTACACTGAAAGATGAGAGGAAGCCACTAAAATAAGGATATTACAACTGGTGGATTCAAACTGCACACCTTTGGGCTGGCAGTGCAACTCCCTACCCATGAGGCACCCTGCCTAATAACAAGATGATTTTTATTTTGCAAAACTATACTCACTGGTGAACTCTCTCACTTTTTAGAGAAAACAAAGAAATAAAGAGATCTGTGGCTTGCCCAAGGCCACAAAGCTAGAAAAAAAGGCAAGAGAACTCAACATGTCAAGTCTCTCAATCTGCTGCTAGTCTCTCTGTAACATATTACCTCACCCCAGCTTTTCCTCTAGACAGAGCTGCCCTGCTATCCTGTCACTAAACACAGGACATATACTGTCACAGCTAGGAAAGGCTAGAAGAGGGAATGGTGCTCAAACACACTCTGAAGTTATCTGACAAGGACTGAGTCCCAACCCAAGTGAAAATGGAGGGACAGAAGTGAAGGTCTCTACAATCATTAATATGACAGGCATGAATTTCATAAGCAGTTTATTAAAGTTAATGATGGAGTTAGTATCTCAAGAGACATAACCATTTCTATGTCTCTTCAAATAAAGACTTGCGAAAGTAACCTCCAAGTTGGGTGTCTCAGGCTTGACAAAGTCCTCAAGACTGGGTTCTTGAGTCAAATATGACTGCTACCAATTTGAGTTGTAAAAAAGAAGGAAATTCAGCTTTACTTAAAACAAAACAAGACACAAATATTCGTTCACTTCTGCAATTTTAAAACAAACGGGCATATACTGGGGTGCTTCTCACATTTCTTCTGATACATGTAAACTTTTAAAAAGCAGAATGCAAAAATAATTTAAAATTTAAAAATAAAATCAGACTAGAAGTTTTTGAATAGGGGGGAAAAAATGATTGACCAAAAGGGGACACCAGAGAACATTCTAGAGAGTTGAAAATGTTTTACAGAGCAATAGATGTATGGGGGAAAGCAAGTGTAATTAATGTACATTAAAACTGATACCAAAATTTAACACATAATGCATTTCAACAGAAGTAAATTTTACTTTAAAAAAATAGTAACAGTAATAATACTCAGAAAGATAAGGAGTGGAGGAAGTATACATAATTCAAAAATTATAGACTCTTATTAACAGGTAAAGGTAATTCAAGAATTTCAGAATTATAAAGAATTATCATTAGGAGGAATAGATAATACAAGAATTATAAAATACCATTAAGAAATATAGTTAATTCAAGAACAGAGTTAAGAGGTATGTATAAGTCAAGAACTGTAGAATAGTATTAATTATAAACTGAGTAACTCTGCAATCACTTGCTATGCATCAGAAAGCTGGACAATGATAAGGGATGATAGAAGGAGAATTGATGCCTTTGAGCTGTGGTGCTGGAGAAGAGCATTGAATATACCCCGGACTGTTAAGAAAATGAACAGATTCGTCCTAGAGAGGGTTAAACCAGGCTGCTCCTTAGAGGCAAGGATTCTGAAGCTTCGTCTGACATACTCTGCACATGTTGCAAGGAGGGACCAGTCCTCGGAGAGGGACATCATGCTTGGGAGGTTCGAGGGACAGTGCAGAAGAGGAAGACCCTCTATGAGGTGGATTAATTCAGTCACTGAAGTAATGGGGGTAGGTGTGTCAGAGATAGTGAGACTGGCACAGGATAGAGCAGGGTTTAGGGCTGTTATACACAGGGTCACTCTGAGTTGCAGGGGACTCGATGGCACATAACAACAACACTTGGTACACAAAGTTCATTATGTTAAATGCCATCCATAAGTAGGCATCAACTTGATGGCACCTAATAACAACAATGATTTGGATATGTTGACATCTCCCACAATAAAAAGTCAGAGAATAAAAGTTGAGTCTGACTGCTTTGAAGACTTGCTAAAGGGCTGCTGCTGACCCTGCCTTGGGCAGCTATGACCTTTATCAAGGAGAGACGCACATCTCCATGGCACTTAGTAGGATTAGAATTAGATAACATGCCTTACAAAATACCTTCCAGGCTTGACCAAAGAGATACACAAGCACAGATGAAGAACAATAACATTTAAACATCTCTGGGTCACTGGGGGCTATGGCCAAAAAAAGTTACCTTTGGTGTAAGAAAAATCTCAAGCACAAGTATCAAATTTATTAATGAAATTCTGTACCAAGACTCAAACGTAAGGGATTTATCTTAACATAGAACGTCACTGGTAATACTGTTAAATAAGTGTTTTCTCACGCCAGCTTGTTTGGGGGGAAAAAAAATCTCAACATACAGCCCCAGGCAGGGGGTGAGAGAATTTAAAGTCTTCTGCACTTGGGAAATTTTCACTGTTCTTAGTATCAGGTCTATGGGTTCTGTCTGACCTCCATGTAAAAGCAGAACAATATTGCTTTTATTCATGTTATAGAATCATCCTCTGCATAAGACATAATTAAGAGAAAACGAGATTCTGCTTAAATAAAGACTTGAAAAATACTTTTCTAACCAAAAGAGGCTGGTTGTTATCAAGTGCTGTCAAGTTGCTTCCAGCTCATATCGACTCCATAGTACAGGACAGAACTGCCAAAGAGGGGGGTCCTGGGGTCAGAAAGGGAGCACCAAGTCTCTCCATACAAAGTGTGTTAAAATAAAGAACAGTTATTTTTCAATGACACTAAATGGACAAAAAAGGCTTTTAAAACACACAAAGTTCTTACCTTTTCTCATTTGTTCCAAAAGTATTTGTCCAGTTTGGCTTAATTGCTCCAGTTTGGGGCTTATTTCTGTCTGTTCTTTTTCTAATTCCTGGGAATAAAGTCTCAGCATTAGACAACTGCAATTTTTCTTCCAACATAACGTCAATAACATTCTCTTAGTTTATAGCTAATAAACTAATACTAGATATAATAAAAATACTTCAGTATTCTAAAGTTTATGTCTAATGTTCTTCTCACACTCATTCTGGATAATTCAGTCAGAATTTACCTAAGCAAACACTATAATACAAACTGCCCAACTTTGGTCTACTCTCCAGAATTCCAAAGATGAATAAATCTGAAAAGGTAAATTCAAGCAAAGTATAATAAAAAAATCCACGGTGATTCTAAAACTTAGAAATTTTACATTCAAAATAATCCTACACTGAATCACAAGGGGAAGCAACTAAGTTAGGATTTTTAGATGCAGCGTACGTGTTTGCGTGGATGGCCTGAACGCACAGCACCACTTAAAATGTGAACTTTCTTTAGAACTCTCTCATTACCTAAAAAGGACCTCTGAATGCAGTGAGCAATAATTTCATGAGTTCCGGAAAGAGATGAGATGCTTGCCAAACAATATTGTTGAATATACGTAATGTTACTGAAATGCATATTCATAAATTATTCAAATAAATGCAAATGTACATTTTGCTACGGTACTTTTTAAAATAGCGGCTGCCTGACAGATTTAAATTTTAGGATTATCATGCTGGTCACCAATGTCAAGGTGCTGTGAGAATTTAAGAGTTTAAGGGAATGGCAAGCAGTGACATGCACCTTAGAGAAAGCAGGTCTAATGAGAAGCAAAGTACATCCCTTGATTTGAAAGTCAAATACGAATAATGGCCTCTAATAGGAAGAGTTCACTAGTGAAATGGAAAGACAGTCAGTCTAAGCAGCTTTTCTTTTTTCCCCCTTTCCCCCCTTTTTTAAAATTGATATTTTAATGAAAGTTTATAGAGAACATGGATTTCCATTCATTCATTGCTGCACATTTTCCTCCCTACCCATCCCTCCCCCCTCCCCAGTTCGCTTTTGTCTTTGAAAAGAAAAAAAAATCTTTCATTGTTATCCAATTCCCCTTCCCCCTCCCCAGTCTACTTTGCTATGCACCTCTTATTCTGGACTGTGGTCATGAAAATAATACCTAGTCATATATTTCTTTTAAGCAGTTCTCTCCCTAAACATTCAATCACCTCTCCAACTTCAACTCCCTTTTTACCTAAACACTAACCACTAAACAATCTACAATATTTCTCTGAAGATCACGCTACACATGTCCATCTCCGTGCCACTGTTCAAAGGTTCCCCAGCTAGTATGTCCTCCCACAAGCTGCAAGTCCCAGCTCAGCACCTCCTTGCCCCTGAAAGTCATTACTATTTCAGGGACAAGTGCAATCCTGGTCTTCTCACAATTCCTCAGGTAATCACTTATTCCTTACTACATCAAAGCTTTCCATGCAAATCTTGTGTTTTTCTTAACCACTGCCAAAAAAGCTTTAAAAAAAACAAACTCCACTGCTGATACTGTAGCCAGCAGAGACTAGCACAAGGTATTAAAAAATATTAACAAAGGTTGAAAAGTGACCCAGTAGAGCTCAATAATATTGGTTTTGGTCAAACATTCTTCTAGGTGGTATAGCACTGGTCTGTCCATTTGCTGTACAGAGGTAACTAACTCATGGTTGCTGTGATGCTGAACATTGTGACACTGATGTGTCAAATGAGATAATGGTTACCATGGTGGACTGTGTTTGGTGGAGCTCCCCAATTAAAACAAGCTTGGAAGAAGGAGTGGCATCCACTTCCAAAATAGCTTGCCTCCAGAAACCCTATGAACCTGGAGAAATGAGAAAAGTTATACAAGTGTCCAGGTCTTTCATTCATAGGGTCGCTATTCATAGGGTCGCTATGAATTGCCTATGACTCGACAGTACTTAACAACAACAACAACAATGTAACATAATCCCTTCCCCCAATGTTCAGTATAAATACAAGGGCACAAAGCAAAAGAGTAATTATGCATTTTTCTAGTCCCCAAAGTCAGCTTTTGTGGAAGTAATTCCAGTTCACGGTGATCTCATCTGTAGCAGCATAAATCTGTGTTTTGAAGCTGAGTCTGATCTTAAAGAAAATGTATTGGAATAGTTTTGGGTTTGGGAAAAAGTCAATGAGTTGAGAAGGGAAGATATCTGCAAAATACATAAATCTATAAGTCAAGATAAAGGTAGACATGATCTACTGAAAACATGACTAGGACCTCTTGGGAAATGGTACTTCCTGCATAGCTCATCCGTTAACAAGGTAAACAAATGCTCTGTCACAGGGATGTGACGTCAGCCAGCTGAAGTCAACCTGAAATTCACTACACTGTTGTAAAAGCGACCTTCTGGACACACAGCTTTTGCAGGAAGTGTTCCATTTCATCTCTATACCAACAGCATATCTAGCAGGAGGAAACATTGTCTTCACCAGAATATAACTGTTTTCTGTTTTACCTTCAGCTTCTTTTTCATTTCTGAGGTGTCTCGCATCTTCTTGTATTCTTTGATCTCTGTGGCCTGAATGGCAGACTTTGACTTCAACACCCAGTTCAGCAGCTCCGCACTGACAGCATCAAACCTGATTGAAGAGTCAAATGTTACCACTGTCATTCACCTCCTCCTAGTGCTCATTTGGCTCAAGAACCAAAACTCCCAACAGGCATGTGGCTTTCAACATTCCCCAAAATGGCAAGCCAGAGATACAGAAATAAAAAGTAAAATAAAATAAACCATAAGGTTACAAAGATAAAAAGTAAAGACATTGCAATTGTAAAATACAATTTTTAAATTTTTTAAAAACATAATAAAAAAATTACCTTTATTTTGATAAACTTACACAGAACATAAAACCCAAATGTGGTCATATAACAATAAAAAAATAACATGTCTAGATTCCTGAGTTTATTTATCCTTCCATTCAAAATGCATTGACTGAATCTACTACAAGCCAACATGCTCCAGTGGCATCCTGCCAACCAAAAGGTCAGGGATTCAGATCTACCAGTGGTTTTGAGAGAGAAAGTCAAATCTGACCCGCCTAAGTCGGATCTGACTTAACAGTGGATTCTACATGCCAGAGAATGGCCTATCCTCATGTTATAAAAGTGAGCTAGACAATGACAGCCTTCAGGGAGTCTTCAGTCTATTAAAAAGGCAGACCATAGAGGCAGTAACAGAATACTAGGTGCTGAGTGCAGGACTTCCCAGGCAGGCTGCCCGGGCCGAGTGGGAAGAGATGGCGTCCCAGGAGAGCAGAGCTGCCTTGTTCACAGGAGCTCTCCTGGCAAAGGAGGGGCAAGGGAAGGCAGAGTGTCCTTCGGAGAACACAAGGAGTCGGGGGTGCTGGAATGGAGGGTTCTAGGCAGGCAGGGCCGATGAAAGCCTGGCCAAGAATCACATGGACTAGCTGCCAGAATTCACGACGGAGTTTAGACTCAACCAATGGGCAACTGAGAGCCAGGAAAACTTTCAACATCAGTATTACAAGAAAAGAAAAAGAAAAAAAAAACCAAAACAAAACATTTCCACGGAGGGACAAGTTGTACTCTTCAGAAGCCAACTGTCCCATCTTTCTGCTGCAGAGTAGCTGGTGGGTTCAAACCCTTGAACTTTCAGTTAGTAGTCAAGCCTTTAACCACACTATCCCAGGAGGCCTCCTTACTGACCCTATGTCAGGTCCTTCTTTAAGGGTTTTTTGTGTATTATTAACTCAGGAGACAGAACACTTATAGCCTAGTGACAGGAAGCTACATTGCAATCCCAAAGGCACGTGGTTTGAATCCACCAGCTGCTTCATGGGAGAACCTTGGGCAATCTCCTCCCATGCGATTAACTGCGTCTGAAAACCAGTCAGAAGGTCAGCTATGGGTCAGTTTCAACTCAATGTTACACAACACAAGAACAACAACATGAACTCAGAGAATTCTCACACCAAACTATGAAACATATACCATTATTCTATGGTGGTAATTGTTGTCATGTAACGTTGGGTTAGAACCAACTCATAGTTGACTCTCCAGTGAGTTTTCAAAAGTAGTAAACTGCACTGGAGGACACGCCCAATCTTTCTCCCAGAGCAGCTGTTGGATTTGAACCACTTCCTTTGGGTTGTGACACATCTCCATACCACAGACTGTGGAGAGGATGAAATTAAGCTCCTAGGGGTTATAAATAACTCCCAAGGGCACAAAAACCACAAATGGTAGACCTAGGACTCAAACCCAGAAGCCTGTCCTCTTACCTCTCTCCTACCCATAAAGCTTTCTCAAGAGGAACTCTGGGTATGTGAAGCAGGGGAGAATCAGGAACACTGGGTCTGTTCATCAAGCTGAATTTTCTTTCTGAGATATGAAGGATTTTGTGACACTATAGGACCAGGGCAAATACCCGAGGGTAATGGTATTGCTAAAATAACAGCATGCTTCTCAAGAACTTCAGAGCAGATTTCTATCTGAAAGCGTCTCTGAATGATTGTTCAGAGAAAGCGCTCAACCCAGAAATCAAGCCTTTCAAATGACCTCTGGAGGAGACATAGTTGATTTCTGTCTCCAGTGTGAACGAAGAGTACTGAAGCAGCACAGAGCACCAATGCTGTCAGTCAGGAGTTTTAACAGACATCCCAGCTATAGGGAACACGTGCTCCTCTATACCTTAAGGTGGTAAAGACCACTCCTAGCAATACTAATAAAAAGAAACGGGAAATAAGCCACCATTTATTACATATGTACTATACACTACGCTAAGAAACTATTTAATGCTCACAAAATCTCAGATGGTTCCTTTCAAGACAAACAATGATTTCTTAGCAGCTTTAGTGACATAATGTGCTGATCTGCTAATCAAATGATCACTGGGTTGAATCCACCAAGGACTCTGTGGGAGAAAGATATAGCTGTCTGGTCCACAAAGATTTACAGACTAGATTTACAAATCTGATGGGAGAGTCACTATGAGTGGGGATCAACTCATTGTCACTGGGCTTGGTTTTGGTTTGGTAAGGTGTCTGGAAACCACACCACATTCTAAGATCATTAGGAAGCTCTTAGGACAATAGTACTTGGAATAGGAAAGCTATCATCAAATAATGAAGAAGTGCCATACAGAAAAGCCATATTGTTCCAGAAATCACAATTAGTACCAGATGTTTAATTTATAGGTGATAAACCTTGGCTATGTGATAATAATAAAAATAACATAATAACAAGGTCTAACAACAATGAGAAAGAGAGAGCTCTGTCAGCCTAATGGATAGAAAGTTAGGCTACCAAGCCAAAGGTGGGTGATTTTAATCTGCAGCCCTCAGGCCTGGTTTTAATTGTTTTTGGTCAAACATTCTTCTAGGTGGTATAGCCCTGGTCTGACCATTTGCTGTACAGAGGTAACACCTGGTTGCTATAATGCTAAACACTGTGACACTGATGTGTCAAATGCAATAATGGTTATCTATTGGTGGACAGTGTTTGGTGGAACTCCCCGATTAGAATCAGCTTGGGAGCAGGAGTGGCATCCACTTCCAAAACAGCTTGCCTCCAGAAACTCTATGAACTTTGAGAAACGATGAAAGTTATACAAACATTCAGGTGTTTCATTCACAGTGTTGTTATGAGTTGTCTACAATTCGATGGCACTTAACAACAACAACAACTGGCTTTTACTACAATTGAATGATGCATTCGAACCTCTAGTTTTCTAGGAAGTAAGTACAAGAATCTTTGTTACAGATTTAATACTTAGTGACTGCTGCACCCACAGCTGGCTTCCCACCCAACAGACATTCTTAAACACACACACACACCTCCCCTGCTACAACCACAGATGAAAAAGACCAGGTGTTTCACCAGCCCCTGCACTCACAGCACAGGTAAGTAGCTTAATCTTGGCCAGTTTATGAAAGTTGTAATGCTAACTCCTGTTTCAGTGTCTTTAAACCACAAGAAGACAAGTCTGAGCATGAAACTTACCACAGTGAGGATGACAGAGACAAAAACGATGGTGAGATGGTAAAGCATTGCACTAAAACTGTCCTACCAACAGATTTTTCAAAGAGGGATGTAATAACCTTAATGTTGCTTTTGGTATGGCATTTTACTTCTTGCAGTAGAAGTAACAAAACTACTTTAATAGCTGTGTTAAAGCTAAGATCTATAGTTCTTAATCCTGGGCTTTACAACCTTCCATTCTTCCAAACGCACAAATTCAACACTGGAGATGCACATCCTAGTGCCTGAAAGACAACATGCATACAGGAGAGGAAACCACATACACGGGCATCAGAAACAGCTTCCTCCTGGGCTGCTGTTGCTTCACAGGTAAAGATTTCACCTGGATGCAATGCCTGGGTGACTTAGCTCTGCAAGAAGTAGTTCTCAATCTCAAACCTACTACACAGTGAGAGTAACCAAAGCAGCGCGGTACTGGTACAATGAGAGGCACATAGACCAATGAGAAAAAATCGAAAACCCAGAAATGGATCCAACTATCTGTGGTCAACTGATACTTGATAAGGAAATAAAACCCATCAAATGGGGAAATGACAGCCTCTTCAACAAACGGAGCTGGCAGAATTGGACTGGTAACTGCAGAAAGCTGAAATAGGATCCATATCTCAAACCAAACGCAAAAATCAACTCAAGGTGGATCAGACTTAGGAGTAAAGACCAAAACCATAAAGTTCCTAAGAGACAACCTGAGATCAAGCTTAAAAGGCTTAGTTTAGGGTATAGAGAGACTGTCAAGGATAGTCAGAAATGCACAATCTAAAGAGGATAAAATTGATGAATGGGACCTTCTAAAGATTAAAACTCTGTGATTGTCAAAATTTATTTTCCAACAGGGTGAAAAGAAAACCTACCAATTGAGAAAAAATATTTGGCAATACCATCTCAAACAAGGGTCTCATAACAAAAGTTTACAGAATACTCCTGGGCCTCTAGGGAAAAAAAGACTGATAACCCAATTTCAAAATGGGCAAAAGACATGGAAAGACTTCACAGAAGAATACATATGGAAGGCCAACAGACACATGTAGAAATGCTCAAAATCACTGGCAATAAGAGAGATGCAAATCAAAACCACAATGAGATATCATTTCACACCTAAAGCAGTGGCAAAGGTTAGCAGAATAGCAAACAGTAAATGCTGGAAAGGATGTGGAGAGGTGGGACTTCTCACACACTCTTGGTGGGATTGTAAAATGGTAGTACCACTCTGGAAGGCAGTTTAGCATTTCCTAAAAAAGTTGAACATAGAAACTCTGAATGACCCAGCTATTCCACTCATAGGAATATACTCCAAGGAAATTAGAAGTGAGACACAAATGGAAATTTGTACACCAATGTTCACAGCAGCTTTATTCACTAGCACAAGAACATGGAAACAGCCCAAATGTCCTACCACAACTGAGTGAACTGAGAAACTGTGGTACATTCACGCAATGGAATACTATGCAACACGCAGGAACAATAATTTGGAATAATACTACATACCTTAAGAGAGAATGGAGAGTACTATGCTGAGTGAACTAACTCAGTTTCATAAGTATAAATAGTACATAAAGCCATTGCTGTAAAAATAGAAGGGTAACAAGTAAAATGTGTATGGGAATCTAAGGAGGGAAAGTGTAGGAGCAGAGGGGTGAGGATGGGTAGAGGGGAAATCACAGGGTCACACAATTTGGTTGTTGGAAAGAGGGGATAAAGGAAATGGGAGAGAGATAGCAGGGACCTGAAAGCATGAGGTAAAGGTGGGCATAGTCCAATGGTGATTAATAATAGGAAAGGTTGCATAAAACATAATATCAATGAAGGGAAATATGGGGAGGGGAAATGTGCATTTTTTTTTAAATGGAGTTACTTCCTTGAATTGGGTTTTGGGGGTTGTTGGTTTTTTCTTATGATAAGACGAGGAAGGAGATTGTCAAAGAATAAGGAACTCTAGCTAAGACAAAACTATCAGAGTTGTCAAAAATGAACAAAAGAGTGTGGGATCACAGCTAACCATATCGTCTCCAAAGTTAAGTAGAAAATGAAGCAAGAAAGGTTCTAACACACAGTGCCCCAAGGCAGTGTAGATGTGTCACAATGGGAAGTGGAATATTTCAAAGATTTGTGAAGAGCTGGTTGGTTTCCTCACTAGACTGGGTAGCTGGGCATGACTGTGGGTACAACTAGTGAGTGGTACAAAGTAAGTACAAAGTAGAAAATGCTTTATGGAAATACTGGATTCAGAGAATTCCACATTCATGCTTACTTTTTCTTTGCTTCAGGGTCTACATGGATCTGTCTCTTCTTTGGGGGCGGCGGGGGAGGCAGCTCTTGCTTGGACTTCTTTGTGGTTACTTGTTCTCGTACACGAACAGTCTCCAAAAGATCTTTCTGAGGAATCTGGGACATCCCCAGCTTTGCGACAGCTTGAGTCACCTGCAATAAAATTTAGCCAGTTGTTAGTTCTTTAATGACAGTTTTACTGGGATATAATTCACATATCATAAAATTCTGACTTTAAAAGTATGCAATTCAGTGGTTCATTTCTAGGATAGTCACAGCAACCCCTAACCCCTGACCACTATCTAATTCCAAAAGTTTCCATCACCCCAAAAGACATACCATACTATTGTTGTTGTTGCTGTTACGTGCCATTAGCACTCCCCATTTCCAATACCCTCTAACCCTTGGTAACAACCCCTAACCCATTTCCTATCCCTATGGATTTGTACATTCTGAGTATTTCATATGAATGGAATCATACAGCTTATCTTTTAATATAAACAATGTATAATACTATATTTATATATAAACAATGCATATGTTATACTGGGTTTTTCAAACTGTGCAACCCTCTCACACCATGCACATTAAACATGTGAGCACAGTAATCTTTCATTAACTTTTTTCACTTAACCTAATTCTTTTTTCATATTCACTCATGTTGTAGCAAGGGACAGACAGCACATCACTCCTTTTTATTGATGAACCATCTTTCATTGTATGAATACAGTTTAAAGATGGGAAATCTCCTCCCCCAAGATTTCAGCCTCTGAAAGCCTGCTGGAGGGTCAGCAAGGAGCTGGTTTCAGCTCAGCACCATAAAACAACAACATTCGATACCTGAAGTCTATGGGGGAGACAA